GTGTGTGTGTGTGTGTGTGTGTGTGTGTGTGTGTGCGCGCGCGTGTGAGCGTGAGTGCTTGCTTGCTTGCTTGCTTGCTTGCTTGCTTTAGTGTCTCTCTCCTTCCTTGTCTATTTCTCACTTCCCATATATATCAGAGACCTAAATCTAACAATGTAAACATTGCTAGGTCTTTGCATATATATCTCAACTTATCTCTCTCACTCCCTGTCACTCTGACCACCCTCCCTCTGTAATGCTCCTCCTCCTCCTTCTTATTCGTCTTCTTCTTCCTCTAGGCCTCTGAGCGCTCCACACCCGCTGTGGCGAGAAGTGAGAAGATGGTCTAAGGCGTGAGACCGAAATCGAGAATTCCCAGAGTACTGTAAGCCTAGCTAATGTATTCATGGGTCAAATGGACTTGTGACTCAGCCTTGTGATTGGCTGCAAACCACCCGATCGCGCAATTCGCAGGCCTGAAAACAAGCGCGTTTGTTTTTGTATGTCACCGACCGAGTCGATCGGTTTGTGCCACGATGGCCGCTTTGCGCCCTCAATGTGGCTTGCCCTGAGTACCCGATCGGCCCGACCAGACCCGACCCGATCGCATATGTGGGCATCCCCAATAAGGTTTTAAGACGCTCGCAACTGCACAATAAGTTCATATGGGCGCCAAGGGGTGGATGTAAACACAGAAGTCCAAACGAGGAATCAGGCTTACTCTGCTCACCTCTTTAGCCTCATCAGCACAAAGTCTGCTTCGACTATCAAGTCCCCCCCCCCCCCTTTCCCTTTCCAAAATAGCAGTTCACAAGAGAGTGACACACATACAAAAGCAGTAGAGGAAAAAATGACGATAGTAAGGATGGGGAAAGAAAAAGCGGCAGTTCCCCCTATGTTGTTTTGCCACAGTATGAGCATTGACATTGGTAAATCAGCCCATCTATAATTCTACTGTGCAAAAGAACATGTTAATAATATAAACCGTCATGCGACAAATTATAGCTATCTTATAATATCCCCCTTTAGGGAATGTGTATTAATGAGTCAGTTAGAACGAAAACATTAGCAATTTACCTACTTTTGTTCTTTTACAGGGCAACTCGGCCGCTATTTGTGGTGCTTGTGATTAGGCTTTTAGGCTATATTTCAATTCCACAGTAAAAAAGGTTTGGGAGTTGTGGTGGTTTTGTTTGTTTTATTTTGTTTGTTTGTATGTTTGTTCTTTGTTTTTGTTTTTTGTTGTTTTTTTTTGTTTGGGTTTTTTTTTGTTTTTGGGGGGGGGGTGCTTTTTTGTTTGTTTGTCTTTTTACGAGCATCTCCTTTGGTCTGTTTGAATGTTGAATGGTGTATCCCACTCCCAGGCTTTCCCTGATAGAGGTGAACAAAGTAGCACACTCCCTACAGTTTCTTAGCGATGTCGATGGGGTTGTCAAACATTACTAACTTGCTTGCTGATTTTACTTAACTCATTAAAAACGCATTTTAGTCTTTCGACAACTCTAGAAGATGCGCTGTTTTTTGTGTGCTTTTTTGGGGGGAGGAGGGGGGGGTTGCTAACTTCATTATTCAAACAGATAGTTCGTATCTATTGTCTTTATCTGAAACTTAAGGAGGCAGGCAACACCAGGCATACTATGAAATATGCAAACTTATTATGTTTCTGATTTGTGTATAATGGTTCGAAATTGTGTGCCCAAATGTTGTCTTTGCTATGCTGCTAATCGGTTGTACCCATTACGTTCCCAAAGAGTTAATCTGCCGTTTACAGCGTATGGTTTACAGGGTGGTACAGACAACAAGTCTTGGCAAATTTGAAAGCCTCTAAAAGTAGAAATTACGAGATTTTAAGTTGTCCTTTGCTCCCTCAATCTACCTTTTCTTGGGCCTTCCTATCGCTCTCTGGTCAGTTATTCTTGTTTTGTGAATGTGTAGGGCGGGTCTGTGTTTGGGCTGCACATAGGGACAGCGAGCTTTAGTAATTTATATATCTATTTTATGTATTTATTTATTTATAAAATTGGAACATTGAGCATTTCTGAGACTGGGATAACGAGACGTTTGTTAGAGTGAGGGTTTTTTTGTTGGGTTTTTTTTTTGGGGGGGGGGGTGGGGTTGGGGTTGGGGGTTGGGGGAATGTTCTTTTGTTGATTTGTTTG